TGAAAATTAAAATGTGGAAAATTGAAATAACGAAACTCAAGTCTTGGATGATCATTAGTTTTAGCCTGCTTGGTAAGTTAGTTAAATATTTTTTCGGAAATTCAATTTTTTCCACAGTAATACAGTGTTTATGTTACGGGAAATGTGAATAGTTGGGCATTATTCATAATGCCCGGGCGATTTAAAAAGTGCCCAATGGGATGTGACAAAATATATAGAAAATATTACATTGCCCGGGCATTATGAATAATGCTGGAAATCGAGTGGGCGGTTTGAGAAATTTTGTATTCATATTTCTCTACATACAAAAACAAGAGTATATTATATATTCAAACAAATTTTTAAATAACTAACAAACAAATAAAGATACAAACTAGTGGTGATAAAAATGCATACGCCTAACTAAAAAAAAAATTAGGTATGTACTTACAAATACACATAAAATGTCTAATCCTAGAGTTTCTATTTATTTATTAGAGTAGAGCAACTTCCACTTTGGTGACATTTCGAGTTACATAGCTTTTTTCTTTACGGCACTTGTCAGATTTACAGCCACATTTACAGCCACATCGACTATAGCCTTGGCCCCCAGTCTTGGATGACATTCTTTTACATTCTATTAGTGAAATCTCTGACTGAGGAATTTCTTCGGCATAAATAAACTTTTCATTGCATATTGTAAATTGGTTCCTAGCATAAAGTTGATTTAGTATTCCATGTTTCGTGCCTAATTTATAAAGATTGGCATCTGTTATTTCAAGAACAAATGCCAAAATATTTCTTCCATCGGTGTCACCTCTGTCGACATCTGGGACTCAAACTCTGTGTCACCCTTTTTAGAGGCAGGGTATTTTGAATTAGAGGTTTGAAACTTTTTCATCTTGTTTGTTTAGATTGCTTGCTGAAATCTCCCTAATTCTTAATATGTCGGCTTTTCTTTTCTTCATATTGGGATCCTCATAACCTTCATACGCGCGTTTTTCATGATCGGAGACTTGAATATCAGATGGCTCGGAGACAATTATTTCTATTTCGTTGTTATGGAAATCAGAACTTGGTTCAGATAACGAATTTGAAGGTTAAACATAACTTTCAATAGAAGATAGTTCCTCCCATGGGCACCCGCAGGTAGGGGCAAGTGCCCCCCCCCCCTGGATTGATTGGATAAACAATTTTTAGACAAAAATAGATAAAAAATGTATTAAAGTAAAGTAAAGAGAAAATAAAGAGAAAGTAACTAAGCTGATGTCCTGTCCGTTCGTTCACCATACAAATACGCTACGGTACAGTAAATTAAAACTATGTTAAAACATTACTAAAAAATTTTTGCCCCCCCCCCTGGAAAGTTAATCGATTTTTTTGCCCCCCCCCCCTAGAAAGTTTTCTGCGGGCGCCCATGGTTCCTCCTCATTATGTTGACTCGGACCTAAAAAAATTTTTTCCCCCCCCCCTGGAAAGTTAATCGATTTTTTTGCCCCCCCCCCCCCTAGAAAGTTTTCTGCGGGCGCCCATGGTTCCTCCTCATTATGTTGACTCGGACCTAGCTCGACTAAAGAATTTGACCCTTGTTAATTGTGCAGTGCTCCTTCTTCTACAGACTGTATATTGTTTTGATCTTTTACTATTACTTCTAAGTCCTCTTCACAATTTATATTAGTATTAGGCAGAAGATCTGTAGATAGAAAACTTTTTAGACAAACTGTTAACCTTGTTCCAAACATGGCCTCATACGGAGTGCAGTTTATGCCACTGTGATGAGCTCTGTTCTTCATAATCTAAGCAAAACGTAAGCCTTCTGACCATTTTCTGCTGTTATTGTCTTTCAGCCAAGAACAAAGCATATTTTCATCTTCCTGATTCGCACGTTCTACGAGGCCCTGACTTTGAGAGTGTCTGGGCTTCCCATGTACCATCTTTAACTCGGGGGCCACATGCTACATAGTTGGTTAATAGTATTGTTAGCAAATTCTCTCCCATTATCAATTTGCAAAATATTAGGCGTACCAAAAATAGTAAAAATATCCAAAAGCACATAAGCTACTTCTTCTGCTCTTTTGCTTTTAAGAGGTCGAAGTTCAATAAATTTAGTTAAATGATCTTGGTATACAATTAATTAAAGTAACCAGAGAAATAATAGTAGTATTTATAAGGACTGGGCAATGTAATAAATTATCCTAGAATAATAATAGATTGTCGTAGAAAAATACAAAATTATTAAATTGCCTGATTTTATCGGTCATTATTCATAATGCCCAAGCATTATAAATAATGCCCAAGCATTATAAATAATGCCCAAGCATTATAAATAATGACCAATTATTCACATTGCCGGTAACATTTATATATTTTAAGTTGTAAGATTTTTGATTTGCCGTTTAGGCAATACATATAAAATCTGTCCATTAAGATTGGATATTTTCAAAATTTCCATGAGGGGACCAAATATTTTTTATTCCTAAGTAGCAGTATTTTAGCGTTTTAAAATAATATATTTAAATTGGTCTCATATAAAGATGGTGGGGTTTTCGTTTTCTGACACAGATAATGTTTCATTCTATTCAATCTCTCTGAATGGTAATTAATAGGATGCACTAAATCAATTTTTGTGTTAATAATTCCAACAAACTTTACAGCAGCATTCAAACTAACTAACATACTGGGCTAGAATTTCTAGATAAACGGAATACCGATTATTTATGGTTGTATTAAATTACACAAATCTAGAATTATCCTTTAATCTTATTTCCAGTAAGCATCATCTTCTACAAATTGTCTGCCCGTTCCCCACCACCCAGACACGCCACTGTCTCAGTGACTGAGTGTTAAACACCCTCCAAGATTATTGATTTCACATCGGCCTGCATTCTCTACGGACCAAAAGCTGGAAGACGGGTTCATCCCCTTTACAAATTGGCTCTGGTATAAAACGCTGGATTCTGGAGGTCCTCAATCAATAAAATAATAACCTCCCTTGACAGACCCAGGGAAAAAGTCTGGATGAGATTGTTGGTGATTTCTTGACAGTCTCCAACACAGAATAGAATTGTGTAAACAGCTCTAAGTTTTGGGGAACTAAAATCAGTATTGCAGTCTTAAAGCCCATTGATTAGAACGACATGAGAAACATTGGGTTGGGGAGGGGGAGCGAGAGAGAGAGAGAAAGAAAAGTGGGGGGGGGGGCGCTGAATGGTATTTATAGGGTCTATGGAAAGTTAATTACTTGTGCGAGTTGTCAGAAATTATAAAGCCCATTGATTAGAACGACATGAGAAACATTGGGTTGGGGAGGGGGAGCGAGAGAGAGAGAGAAAGAAAAGTGGGGGGGGGGGGCGCTGAATTGTATTTATAGTGTCTATGGAAAGTTAATTACTTGTGCGAGTTGTCAGAAATTTGACGTAATCCAATCAATCATTAATACTCTAGCTATTTGGATGTTTGAAGGTATTGCTAATGTACTAGTACTAGTAACATAGTTTTGCACTCGTGAAATAGTTTGGATGTCACCAAGTGTACTGTTGAGACAGTTTGCATGACAACCAGTGTACTGGTGAGATAGTTTGGATAACAAATAGTGTACTGTTAGCTAGTTTATTTGAAAGCTAGTGACTGGTGAGATAATTTGGACATACGGTAGTTTAAGGAGGAGATAGTTCAGAAATCACATCTTTACACATTCTTATTTCTTTTTTATTCTGTGTATGGCATCCTTCCGTCTTCGTGAGACGATGGAGTAGCTATACAGTTCTACACTTTGACGAGTGGCTCACTAGGCCAATCCTAGAATGGCAATCACGGCCGCATCTCTCGCAGCAGAATATTGAATCCCGGTAAATTCTTGATTTCCGAATTGTTCTTTTTGATTCAAGGGCCTCGTTTCGAGTATCCTCTGCCTTTATTACTCCTTCAAACACCGCGGTTCGCCAGTTGCAGCGATGTTCGGCAATGAACTCCCATTCGTTTGTTTCAATATTGGCTTCCCTCATGCTTCGTTTGCAAACGTCAATAAATCTCAGGCGCGGTCGTCCAATATGTCTTGTCCCTTCTGCCAACTCTCCATAAAGCAGAATCTTTGGGATACGTCCTTCCTCCATTCTCCGTACATGACCTAACCAGCGAAGGCGCCTCTTAATTAGAAAGGAGAATATGCTAAACATGTGTGCACTTTCCAAAACCTCCACGTTAAGACACCCTGTCCTGCCAACGAATGCGCAAAATGCGACGTAAGACATCTTTGATGGAAGCTGTTGAGTTTATTATAGGCTATTGCTAAAGATTGATCTTGACATTAGAAAGTCATCTTTGCATTAGCTTAAGTTTAGACTTAGACTATCTCATTCTTAAACTAATAAAACGGCACATCCTTACACTTTATGTTTGATTAGTTAAGAATAACATAGTCTAAACTTAGGCTAGTGCAAAAATGACACATGATCGACCTTTGCTAATACCTTATAATAAAATTTGATAGAGCGAAATGTAGTAGTGTTAAAATGAAATCATTTGACTGAGGTCGCTACCCTACTAATTTAATGTAATTAATATAACTTTGAAATGGTTTTGATCCATAAACTAATTAACTTAAACTTTAAAAAGATATATTATATTTTATTGGAAAAGAGAGAGATAGCACATCACATCGTCTTTAACACAGAATTGTAGAATGGATGCGACTATTAAAAGTAGGGGTTATATGTGAATATGTGAGGTGCATTTCATTTGTACATTTCTTAGAAGAGGCTCATGGCCGTCATTTGACTCGCAAGGGTTTCCTGGACTAATGAAGGTTAAGAGCCCCTTTTTTTAAAGTGTCACATTCTCTCAGGTGGAACATTCTCTAAAGAGGAACATCTCTAAAGTGAAACATTCTCTAGAGTGGAACATTCTCTAAAGTTGAATATTATTTTAAAGTGGAACATTCTTTTAAATGGAACATTATCTCAAGTAGGACTTTCAGAAAAAAAAACAAGACTTATTTGACACGATTAGAAGTTTAATTGTGAGTATGAAAAATGAAATACCTAAATTGTAGTCAGCTGACTCAAATCACATGGCATAGACAGTGTAAACAAATTGCAGTCAGCTGAATCAGGTCACATGGTATAGACAATTTAAACAAACCACTTAAACACTTTTAAACAAAAAAGGAATTGTCTTGACTTTCTTGAACAATGAAAAGATTCTCGCCAAGCTTCATTTTCAGTTAAATTAACGTACTATTTTCTACTGTATTCTACACCAACCCTGTGACAATCCTCAAGTAAAGCACCAAAGTTAGGCTATTTTGTTAACCACACAACATTTTCTTAATCTACTTGTTTGTCGTGCCGTAGTATTTTAAGAAATAACTTTATTTTTGTCGACAAATAAAAAGTGGAAAGTTAACTGTTGTACAGCATGCAGAGATTTATAGGAAAAACTACCAACAGTGAGTTACAAATGAACTATAAACTGTTTTAACTTTTGTCTTTTAATAACATATTGGCTGAAAAGCCATGGGTGTTAGTAGGTCTTTATAATTTAATAGTTCTATCTGTTAAAAATTCGTGTATTTTAATCAGTCCTGTTGGCAACTAACTTATAATGATTAATTAATGGTTTAGATGCAGTTACAGATGTTCATGATTTTCTCGGATGTATAGCCAACGTGCACACGATCTACTGCATGTCCCTGTCCACTGACGTCCCTGATCTACGAGAAGGACTAGCCTGGGACAGATGCGGATAGGGGATGGCCTCTAAAGCCCCCAGAGACGAATGGTGGTTGAGGTAGGCAATAATACGCCTCATCTCCTCAAGGGCGTGGGCTTGCATCAAGATGTAATTTTTGGCCAATAAAAGAGTAGCTATTTTACTGAGCTTTCTCACCGAGGGGCTGTGTGCGTACGGGATGACAGACCTAAGCTCGTCTAGGGCATCGTTCAAGTCATGCATTCTCCGCCTCTCACGCGAGTTAATGTTTAGACGTACATGTTTCTGTCCACTTGATGGCTTCTTAGATCGCATCTTTCCCTCTACGTCCCCTCCCGTGTAGTTTGGCTCAAGTAAATCTCTTTCGTCATTGTTTTCGAAGCTGCCGTTCACGTGAAAACGCCCGTCGCTGTCTTGGAGTTTCGTTGAGGACCGAGAATCGTTGTCTCTGCCGGAGGGTTCTCCGTGTCGCCCGCTAAGTCTTTCGTCGTCACTGCTATCTTGATCACTGCAATGAAATAAGGACGATAACACTTTTGGTCCTAAAAATAAGAATAAAATCTTACTTAAGAGATTCACAAGATTATGTCTGTTACACCCAAAGAAAATAATGATAATAAAGACAACTCGCTGGCAAGTCAGTATCTTTTGAGGATTCCTTAATGAATAGTCGAAAAACAATGCCAAAGTATTAACTTTAAGTTAAAGATACAATTTAACTTAATTTCATTGGAATACAAACACTGTAAACACAACACGAACCCGGTCTGCTTCCACGATTTTAAACAAGTCTAAAATTTATATCAAGTACCGGTATTTTATTTTCCACCAAAAGTTCTTTAATTAAAATTTTGAACTTCTCCAGATACAAATTCAATCCATTTCGCAATGATCAAATGTCTATAATATTTTTATAGAGCTTTCTACACACACACACACATACTCATATAAATGACTGAATATTAAAATAAACATATTTTCCCGTATTTTAATATATGCCACATTATTTAGATTCAAGGTTGCATTGTAGGGGAAATGCATATTTAGTGTAGATTAGGAAAAAAAACTATTTGGTACACCGCTGAACTCTCCGAAATATTTGATATGGCTGAATCAGAGTGCCAGAAGTTTGTCTCTTTCATCTGCTATAGGCAAATTCTGGAAGTCGTGCTACTTTTTAAACAGAAGATTATGTCTTATTTCGAGCCGTAAAAAGCTGATTGGAAACTGTAATATTAGCGCTTTGAAATAATTGTTAGCACGCGTTTGATATACCAAATGTACAAGCTATGGAATTTAACTGTAAACTAATCAGTTTATTAAACATTGATTAAGGTCAAACTATTTTTCCTAAAAAATTAATTCTATTTAGTCAAACAATTTAAACAACAAACGTTCGTTTTCAAAAGCAAAGTTTCAGAATTGCATTCAGCTAATACATTTGAAATCTTTAAATTTAATATTTTTTATAATAAAGTTTGGCATAAAAGCTAATAAAAAATAGTAAATGTCTACAACGCACCTGTCCAACAGTTTCAAAATTTAAGAACTTTGCAAAGGTTAATGCAAATCCTAAGAATTAACCCCTATTACTACAAACCTGGAAACAATTATATATTATCGCAATAAATAAATTATACATTTTGCTTGATTGACTAATAGAAACTGCCAATGGTTTTGACAAAATGAAGCCTCACCTGAAATCTGAATGTCTTGAGTCCTTTGAAGAGGCAATGCTGTGAGCGTATTTGTCCAACTTTTGTTCGTCATGATAACCCGGGGGAATCCCAAGACCTTCTTTGAACAGTCGTGGGTCCATTTCCTCGCGTGATATGGTGTTAAATACAACCGCTTATTTCATATTTGAATCTCTTTCACTTCAGTAATGATAAAGAAATCCCATTCAATAATGATACATGACGTATACGAAATTTGAGGCCAAGATTTCAATGAAATATTATTTTGTTCTCTTTACTGTCTCATTGAAACGACCGGTGGCAGACAGAAAAAGCGCAGCATATCCGGGTAGCCCACGCATTAGGATTTCACAAGCCATGGGGACGGGTCGATAGCGGTAACTAAGGAGAGGGTTACAAATCACTTTTGGAGTTTGCAGGGGGGACGAACAGACAAGTGCTTGAAACGCCTCTCCTTCATTGGCTGGCTTTTTTTCGGCGGTCGCTGATCCCGCAGGCAATTTATCAGCTTTAGCGTGAGAAGATTGTGTTAGGAACGTTCCAAAAGTGGGCGCTTGCCAAAATGCTCGTGAGCAGCGTCAATATTTGAATGGTGTGAGTGGGTTTGCATGAGCGCCTGAAGGGGCGGAGGGGTTTCGTAAGCTCAAAGATCAGGGGGGGGGAGGGGGGTGCAAAAATATATATTTTAAAACTGCTCTTTAATCTCTATATTAAAAATTTATAGCGACCCATATACAGCGACCCATTTAAAATTAATTTCAGACAAATAATTTGCAGATTATAAGGTAATATCCTGATTTATATATTTATATCCAGGAGATATTAATTTGAAACTTATTAAGACTATCAGACAAAATTAAGGCTTTTGACTTTAAACCCAGCTAAAATTGTTTTCTCCATTTTGTCGCTAGCTTGGGGACTATTAGTATTATTGATTCGTTACTATAAACCATCATTGACGTCACATATCGTGACATCTTTGTATTAATGCTAATCACACATTTACGTTTCCTCAGCTGGTGACATTCAATGTGCTTTGCAGCTTTAAAACTTGGCAAATGCTGGACTGGGATTGGATGCCACCAATGTTCCCTTTAAGCTGTGCGGCTGCGCGGCCGCGCAGCAATCTCACAGACGCCGCGCAGCAGTTTTGAGTACCGCGCAGCTAATTTCCACTTAAGTGTGTTTGTAGGCTGAAAATTTTGCGCACAAAAAAATTGATGCTGTAAAAATTTGCACACTACTTTATGATTTTGCACACGAACCAACAAACCTTAGAGGGAACATTGGATGCCACACGATGTCATTTGCGTGTTTATTAAAGTTACCGTGAATTAGGTTTCAGGTTAAGTTTAGGGATACATTTAGGGTTCAGGTTAATTTAAGGGATACATTTAGGGTTCAGGTTAATTTAAGGGATACATTTAGGGTTCAGGTTAGGTTTAGGGATACATTTACTTAGATTTAGTGACAGAATTAGGTAATCTTGCAGTTTAGGTGCGTATATTATTTCTTAACGAATTTCGTATCATCGCATGTAATCTTACGTGTATTCTTTATAAAATGTATTCTAGACAGTATTAGGTAGCCCTAAACTAAATTGTACAGCAATAACCTTTCTCTTTATAGATTTTTACAGCCCCCATTAGTACATAGCCGATAGCGTAAAAGATCTCTCCATTTTCTTGGTTTTTTAAATTCACCCTACATGCCAGATGGCAATTTTTCATCTGAAAGCAAATTTACAAAAAATTAAACAAGAAATTAGATTTTTATTAAATAATACCAAAATTATTTATTGATGCTTAAATGTTCACACAAAAAATATGTTCACAAAATAAATTTATATAAAATTGACGTGTATATTGGCTAGTTTTAGGAAAAGTTAAAATTATGACTTCATTATTAAACTTCAGTACCGGTTTTTGAATATGGATAATAAGTGTATGTTATTATGTGCACTACGTTTGATCTCATTCCATTCACCCATGCCAATGCAGGAGCTTTTAATTGGAATTATATGCCTATTTATACACCCCATATAAGTATAATAAAAAAAAAAACAATAACACTTTTGGGCCCCTATAAAATAACGGAACATCTAAATTAAGTTCAACACTCCTCACCCCGTATTTCATTCTTTTTGTAAACATGGCTACATTTTGAAAATTTCGTTTAGCATACCAACTTATACTTTTAGGTGATCAAAAATCTGGCAAAAAGTTTTAAATTTTTTTAACAAATGGAGCTATGGAAGGTTGGGGGATGTTCAAAGACGCTTTAGAAATAAAATGAAACGAAAATAAGTGATGCATACTTCAGTATAAGTTAACTATCACTGCCTGGGTTTAATTTAATGAAGAATACACTAAGTTTACAAGCGATACTACGAAATTCGATCAGAAATAATATACGCACCTGAAGATTACCCAGAATTAACTGGTCTTGTCAACCAAGATGGCGGCCATGTGGCATTCGGTTACCGAAAATTTCGTCGAAAGAAATTTAGTCGACGGAAATTTGATCGAACTGAAATTTGATCGAATGGAAGTTTGACCGAACGGAAGTTTGATCAACGGAAATTCGATCAAACGGTAGTTTGATCAAACTGAAATTTGATCGAACGGAAGTTTGATCGAACGGAAATTTGATCGAATGGAATTTTGATCGAAACAGATTTTTTGTTTGTTTTGTTTTTATTCCAGTGTTGCTTTAGATTTCAACTTTTTTTAAAAAGAGCATTGATTTGTTGTATTGTAATTTTTATTTGAAACTTTCTGGTTCACGAAGGTCTATTGTAAATAATGTACAATATTTGTGCAATAAAATACTTTAAATTGCATTTATCTGAATATGTCAATTGCATGGTTTACATTGGGAACAATGTTTAAGGGAGCTTTATCAAATGCTAGATATTTAGTCTGTGTATTAATTAAATAATATATAACATTAATCTTCACATGAGGCAATTGTATATGATGATGTACAAAAGTTTAGGCTAGGTTTAAAAAGGGTGATAAAACTACTCACTTTACGAATTCCTATGAATATATTGACTAAACTTTGCCAATAATATTTAAATAAATCAAGAAGGAAACATTGATTTTCTTGATGAAAATACCAATTTAACACCAGGCTCTGAGGACACTATTTGAATCCCTTTCCGCCTTTCCAAACAATGGCACAGAACAAAGTCTCACTATATTCTAGAATCTAGATGAACATGGGTTTTCTTCAGCCCAGATGACCTAAAATCTTCATTGTAAATTCTCAGTTACTAGGTCGATCCAAAAACTAAAATATAATTGAGACATGAGATATTTATTTGTTTGTATAAACAATATAAATAAAATGAGAAATTTATCAAAAGAAGTTTAAAAAATAATTTATTTCTTGTCAGTTGTCACTAACTAAAAGAATATATATATATATATATGTATTCTCTCATAGTAGAAAAGTTTACTGTGGTATAGATTATTTCAATTATCAATTAAATCCATTTAAACATTACTTAACTATTTAACAACTAACAATGCATAAAATGTTTCTTTTGTTCCAACATCTAAAACACATTAGCAAGATGAAAAACTCATTTATCAATATCAGAAAAAAGTTACCATAACATAAGGTCATGTCACATATTGTTTCAAAGAGTAACAATAGCAGGGGTGGACTGGGGAGTTCAAGCGGCCCGGGAAAAAAAAAAAAGCGGCCCTATCTTCATGACTTTTATTTTTCGAAGTGGCTATAGGTACCCGAGTACCCATCATATCACCGGTCCTAGCGGCCCATCGGGAATCTTCCCGGTGTCCCGGCGGCCCAGTCCACGCCTGAACAATAGTAAGGAATACACAATGGGTATACTTCATTTCTTGACATGAAGTAAGTTCTTATAGACAATAATTTCAGAAAACTTAGTCCTCACAGATAAAATGAAGAAACCAATGGGTCTTGTCAAACATCACAAGATGTTATGAACTTTAGAAGGACTATATCCAAACAATGAAGTCCCATAGTGTTATATATGATATATAAATATAATAAAACAGTTCTATTGTGACTGTTGGTTCATTAAATTTAATTTCACACTTTAGTAGGCAAAATTATGTGCTATTCTACTTAAATAGTCCTCAGCCTGAATATTGGGTTCAAAAGAATTGACAGTGCGAGTGAGTCTTTCTGCTGAATCTTTATATTGTTTTCTTCCTGGAGGAGGCTCTTGACCACTGATGTATTGTTCAATACGAAGTTCGTTCAAACTTTGTTCACGTTTGATAGCATTTATAAATTTCCAAATGTTGGGGTGGTCAGCGCAAACTTGGTTCTGAAAGCCCCTGTGCCAACCTTCAATAGCATTGTTGGTTTATGGCAAACCTTGTTGACTAGCATCAAAGTCAAAGCAATTCCACATATGAATCGAGGTGGGCGACGGTGACTATGATTAGGTCGACCGATCCATGTGTCCTCAAAATAGTCAACAACTACTTGAGCTTCAGGGGGTAAAATATTTATGTTGCAAAGTAACTCAAAATACTCTACCACATGTTGTGTATAAGGAACAAATGCTAAGGCAGATGACATTCGCATCCTTCATGCAAATTCGGGGTTACAGTTGTAATTTAGCTTCAAGCTATTTGCTTGCAAATTTCTATAAATACACTGTCAGAAGTGAAAAAATCATCCTCGAATAGAGTGAACTCAACATTTATGGCATTTACCATTGCAAGCTCAACTTCTATGAGAAAAAGTTTGAGGATTACAAGCAGAATCCAAGTCTTTGATAGCTCTTAAAAGTTGTATATAACTTTGTACAGTTTTGTTTGGAAGAAGTGCATTAACTAATGGAACAGCAGTATGTTCACGTAACGCATGTATTGTATACAATTGTTCAAATAAAGGTGGTACCGTTTTAAAAGTACCATCTGCATACCGGTTTTTTTTTGAGCTTGAAAGTAAACGTAGGTTATTCCTGGTTGAAAATATTAAAATTCTGTCATCCACCGGCCCAGAATAAAACAGTAAAAAGTCTTCACCATTCTCTGTAGAAATATATTCGCTAAGGAATCTAATGTCCCTCCTATGTGTAGGAATAGCTGGACCCCTAGTCTCTTTTATTCTATGATTTCTTATGTTTCTTTTCATAGCTTCAACTCAGAGCAGTTGACCTGTCGTTGTTGGTGTTAAATTTAATGAAGCATTAGATAAAATATAATGCGGAGAGTCGCAAGTGGTTATAGCGTCTCTTTTAATCTGGTTCATAACTACATTAACTTCAACCTTGGAGCTATCGGCTGCATGGCTGTGCTCGTTGCTTTGTTTGGTAATAATAGTGTTGTTAACAGTTACCACTCGACATGGGCACGAACGTTTTTTGAAGTTTTCGCACTTCCAATAGATTTTATCGTTACGCTGCTTTTCTTTCAGGTAGATGTAGCCATCAACTACAAGTTTTATTTTATTT